CAGGGAGCTCCTGCCCGGGGGCCCTGCTGCCAGCCCAGCCCTGCCCTGGCTCTCTCTCCCCAGCATCCACTCCTCCTGGGACTGTGGCCTCTTCGCCAACTACTCGGCCCCCTGGCAGGTGGTCCCGCAGCTGGTGGCCCTCCGGCTGCCGCCCCCTGCCCAGCGCGCCCTCCACTACCTCGGCTCCCACGCCTTCAGCTTCCCCTGCCTCATCCTACTCAGGTGCCTCTCAGGGCAGCAGGGGCCGAAGGAGGGCACACCTGGGAGGAGGGCCTTCCCTCAATGGGCACCCCCCAGGCAGTCTCAGGGGACCTCACAGGAGCCAGACAAGGACAGGCAGGGAGGCAGGGTCCCAGGGGGCGGAGTGTGGGCCCAGAGGCAGGTAGGCCTGGACAACGCCTTGGGATGTCGCCTGTAAAGCAAGTACCCATGTGATGGGGGAAACACAGTGCCTCCTGCAGACGCGCTGAAAACCTGCCCGGAGCGGAGAGGGGCTGCCCGCGGGAGGAAGGAGGGGACAGATACAGGGGTCTGCGGGGGAAAAGAACCGGGGAGGTGTTTTTGAGAAACTGAGGTGGGGAGAGAGAAAGGTGGGGGAGGGGCCACTGACCTTGGATCTCCGTCTGTCCAAAGCCTTGTCCTGACCGTCTGCGTCTCCCAGTCCCAGGCCAATGCCAGGGCCATCCAGGGGCTCCGCAAGCAGCTGGTGTGGGTGAGTGTCCGCTGGGCTGGGGAGGGGCCAGACTTCGCCCGGGAGTGTGGCCTCGGGCTGGCAGCCACCTGACAGGAACACGGTTGATAGTCGATAGCTTGCTACAGCAGTAGCATCACCTGGCGTCAACTAACTGCACAGCTGCCATTTTAACTCGGGCTCTAGGTGGCGGGCGGGGACAGAACCCTGGTAGGGGCGTGGTCTCGGACCGGACGGGGGCGGGACCCTGGCGGGGCGGGGCCTCCTCGGGGGAGGGGCGTGGTCTCTGGCTTGACTGGGGCGGGACCTGAGGGCAGACTGGAGGCGGAACCGTGGTGGGGCGTGGTCTCGGTGCGGAGGCGGGGCCCATGGGGCGGGGTTTGTGTTGGGCGGAGCTAGGGGCGGGGACTCGGACGGGGGCCTGGCAGCAGACCCGGGACCGCGGACCGCAGAGCCGCCGCGGCCTGGCGGGCTGTTTGTTCCCGGCCGGCCCCTCGGAGGAGGCGCCGCTGGTAACCGTCCGCTTGCTCCCCACCCCCTCCGCACAGCAAGTCCAGGAGAAGTGGCACCTGGTGGAGGACCTGTCGCGACTGCTGCCCGAGACGGGCTCCGGCGGCTCTGTGGGGCCCGAATCCCCTCCCTCCCGAGCTTCCCGCCCGCGGTCTTTCTGTCCTGGATTCCCGTGCCCCCGCTCGCCAGGCCCCAGGGCCCCTAGGCCAGGACCTTGCCTCGAGGATCCAGCCAGGCCAGGCGGTGGCCCTGTCGCCGCCCCTAGATTCCGCTTCCCCAGCGGCTCGCAGCTGTAGCACCCACCCCTTCCTCCTCCCCGAGCCTCCCCAGGGCCTGACCACCTCCCTGCAGCCAGACTGTCCCTGGCCCCAGGCTCCTGCCCCCTGGTGACGGATGCTCTCAGCGGGCCCTCCAGCAGGACGCAGGAGAGCCCAGGGGCAGCAGAAAGAGAATATGAGAAATTGTATTTATATTTTTACCTCAGTCCTGTAAAGTTTCAATTTTATAATGTACATAATATATTACATAGTCATACAGCAGAATAACCCCTGAATGCAACTTACAGATACACATTTATGGGGGTGCTCAGAAGTGCCCCCACTGTGGGGAGCACCACCTAAACGTGTCCGGGAAGGGTAAGGCCTGGCTACGGTCGAGCAGACCTGCGCCGTGGATCTGCTGTGTTCTGGGTGCGCATGGACCCCCAGAGCCTCCTGGGGCTCCTTCTCCACCTGTGAGACCCCTGAGCCCCACAAGCAGTGCTTGCGTCAACCAGCAGCAGAGCGGACTCCGGAACTTGGCTCCAGCATGCCCACGGCATGCCAGGAACGCCCCTGACCCTGACCCTGACCCTGACCCTGACCCTGACCCCGGGGGCTTCCCTGAGTCTGCAGAACGGAGGGTCCAGGGCCAGCCTCTCCCTGGCAGGATTCCTCACCATCTGCTCTAACCCAGGACCCCACATCAACAAAGTGGGCCTCCTCAGGCGCCCAGAAGCCCCTGCCTCTGCTGCGGTTCTCAGTCCGTGGTTTGCAGCCTTAGAGGACTGGCCCTGTGCTGAGGCTGCCGACGTGCTCAGCCCAGGTGCGGCCAGCAGCCAGGCACCGGGACTCCCGAAAGCTTCCAGGTGACTCTCCCTGGCGGCCAGGGCTGAGAACGCTGGCCTGAAGAACTGTTGGGAGGGAGGCTCAAGAGAAGCCCCATGACATGCTCTCCAAGCCTCTGTTTCCACCAGGGGCCTGGCGCCTGGCGGGATTCCCAGCCTGGGCACTCTGGCCTCATGCCCTCAGGCCCGGGCCTTCACGTGGGCCTTGAAGGCTTGGCCGGCCGGGCCTCTCCCACGGCTGTTCTCTCTCCCTCACCCGGTGTCACATGACCCTGTCAGCCTGTCAGCAACTGCCGGGCCTCGTTCCAGGGAAACAAACAGTGCGGTGGGCTCAGCTGGCCGAGGGCCACCGGCCTGTCCCGGGTGAAGGTGGCCCACACTTTTAGCAAGTGGCTTAGGGCCAGTGTGTGGCCCCCGCCTGCCGCAGTAGCAGGAGCTGGGAGCTTGGCAGAAATGCAGATTCTCAGGGCACCGCCCGCCCCCCCCCCCCACCCCGACCTCCTGACACAGAAACTTTAGGGGTCAGGCCCAGCACAGCAGACATTCACAGAGAATGAGCCAAGTGCAACACCAGGAGAGGACAAGCTTGAGGAAACCAAACTCTGGGCCTGTTTGCTCTGCGGAAACATGAGGCTGACACCACCCTCTTCTGAGCGGCTGTGAGGATTAAATGAGCAATTACATGTCAAGTGTCCTGACATGTGCCTTGAGTCATGAGGCTTTATTATGGCCTGACTCCATACAATCCGGGTGACCTGGACCCTCGTGAGTCCTCTCCTCCTCGTGCCGCCTGTGGAGGGAAGGAGCAGAATAGCCCAGAGGACCAAACCCCTCTGCAAACACTCCAGGCTGACGCACAGGTGGTCGCTGGGGCAGGGCGACACCCGGTCGATCCAAACCTTCGAGAAATGTCTCGAGTCCGCCCACCACGCTCTCCTCTGCCCTGCTCCCCAAGTACACTGATGGAAGGAGGAGGCTCCTCAGCGGTCACCTGAGCTCAAACCCCATGCCCTGGGCACAACATGGAGGGAAAAAACACAGGTTTTTGGAGACGAACCGGGAGCAGCCTAGACGATCCCTCTGTCTTACAACCTCGGTTCTTCCGGTTCCTGCCCCGACCACTGCAGCAGAGCGAGGACAGACTTCCCGGAAGGGAAAGAACGGAGAGAATTTGGAGAGAATGCTCTCGCTCCCCACATGCACGGAGGTGGCCCTAGGGCGCACCCCCAGGCTGTGAACCCGGACTCTGGGTGGCAAGTGACAGTTGCTGATTCTTGCCTCCTGGGCAGACGGGGGACCAGCACGGCGACTGACAAATCTAGTCCCCAGCCGAGCTCCCGGGACGTCAGCCCCAGGCTCCGGCTACCCCCCACCCCGCTCCCCATCATCCCTGCCGCTGCCCCCAGGTGAGCAGGTCAACTGCTCGACCCGCTTCCCACCACGCCCAGACCTCTCGGGCCTCCACGCCTTTCCCCGAGGAGGGCCAAGGGTACCCGAGGGCAAGGCTGTTCGTGCCTTCCTTGGGTCACTGCCGGGCTGTGCAGGGGTTGGGCATGTGGTCCACCCAGGGAGTTCTGCAGGAGAGAACAGCCCCTACTGGACGCAAACGGATCCCCAGGGGCGGGACATCTTACCCGAGGAAGGCTGTCCAGATGGGCGTTTCCCGCACAAACTAAATGAACTAGTCTAGCAGCCCCGGGCTTGGCTTGGGAGGAGCCCAGCTTGCCTGGAGCAGGCAGGAGCCAGGGGTCAGCTGCGGGGCTGGCTGGGTCCTGGCCCACACATCACCTGCTCCCTCCATTCTCTCTGAGCTCCAAGCTGCCCTGAGTCCCCAGCCTCGAGGGGGCGCGCCCTGGTCCAGCCTTAGTGTTCCCAGAGGTTTCCTGGCTCACCCCACCCTTCCTTCTACCTGAATCCAGTGAGCTCTGTTTCAGACTGCCGAAAAGGCCACGCCACCACACGTGATGTGGTCTGGCCTCCTTCCGGTCTCGCTAGCATTGGGTCCAGATCCTGGGGAATGACCGCCGTCCATGGGCAGGAGGTAAAACCCCTCCCTGCTCTGAGCTGGCCCACTGCATCACACTCCTGGGGGGACCAGGGGCCCACCCGGTCTGAGCTTTAATTTGGGGGCTGAGCTCAGTGTCAGCTGCCCAGCAGGTGCCCACCAGGTGGTCACTAAGGAACCAGCGTGAAATGGCCGAGGGGGCCTCTCCTGCCTGTCTCTCTAAAGGGTCCAGCCCCCCAGGTCTCCTGTGTGTATGTCAGACTCTCCTGGGGAAGTTTGGGAAGGACCTTCGTGATAAGCGGCCCATCCTGATAATCCAGAATAAGGACTTCATCTCAAATCAGAAGATTAGCAACCTTACTACCCCCTCTCCATGTAACATACATATTCCAAGGCTTAGGGGTGCACATCTTCCCCGCAAACAAGCCAGGCTTCTACAGTTCAGTCGGGATGGCTGAGTGTAAGCCCCTGGTTTGGCTTCGAGGCCCAGGGGCCTCCCAATCCCCCCAGAGAGTGTGGGGGCCTAGCTGTTCTGGGCCCAGCCCTGGCTGCTGAGGCGTTGGGGGGCTGTGGCCTCTGGGTTATCTGCCGGCTGCAGGCACCCACCCCAGGAGCATCCGGGGGCCCCAGAGTGGAGGTGGCCCTGCTGACAGAGCTCTTGCTAGCCTGAGCAGGGCCCTTACCCCGGCATGTGGCTCCTTCTGCTGCTGTGCTGGGCCGTGCTGGGTGAGCTCATGGGGACACCATCAGGGGCAGGAGGGACCACTGCCAGGGCCTTGGGGAGGCAGGCTGAGGGTGCAGGGATGCCAGGGAGCACAGGAGAGGGACCCGGAGGCACGGATGCTTCCAGGAGCATGAGGACAGCGAGGGAAAGCTGTGAGCTTGAGTCTCAGACCAGCCCCTTACTGCACAGTGTGGCCCGGTGGCTGGGTCCCTGAGCTGGACGCACTGTTTACTCAGCCACCAGATGGCTGATGATTCCGACTGTTGTGCCCTTGAAAGAGCTTCTGGGAGCAAAGGCACTTGTGGAGTCCTGGGCCTCCCTTCCGGCCTTGGCAGGAGGCTCTCCGGGTGGTGTCGCGTCTCCTTTCCACCCCGGGCTCCCTGCTTACTCCCTTCGCTCCCTCCCCTTTTCCAGCCACCAGCAGCTTCTCCGTGGAGCCAGAGGTAGGTGAGTAGCCCAGCACGCTTGAGGGGGACGCTGGGTGCTGTGGTGGGTGCCGTGGTGGGTGTTGTGGCTAGTGGAGATTGCTGACGGTGAGCGGGTGTCTGGTGGTGGACAGATGGAGAGTTCTGGAAATTGGCCTCAACCCCTGCAGGGCCCTGGAGAGCGTGGAGAGGAGCAGGGTGAACAGGCCAGTGGGGGACCTCCAGGGCACTTGCAGCAAGGAAAGAGCTGGCTTCCGGTTGGGCTACGGAGCTGGGAAGGAAGGGGAGCAGAGGGCGTGTCCCTGGGCAGGTGCACCCCAGTCCTTCTACTACAGGTCCACTCTGGAGCAGATCTGCTAGGTGGGTGTGATCCCAGTGAGGGCTGGGGCGTCCAGGGCGGGGCACTCAGGCTGAGGAAGTCCGGGCTCCCCCCCCAACCCTCCAGGTCTGGCAAAGGAAGTCTGACTTACTCTCCCAGGCAGCCAGAGGGCAAGGGGCCCCTTTTCCACAAGGGGGTGATACAGAGCCAAGGGGAGGGGACTCTCCTGGTCCAGCCTGGGTGCCGGTCTCCCCCACCTTCCTTTTCCAGCTCTTCCACCACCCACCCTATTTCTAGTCTTGTGACCCTTAAGGTCAGGGTGGTGGGTCACCTCCTCCTCTCACCAGGCTGGGGGGTGGTGTTCCTCCCCAACTTGTCTCCACCATCACCTCGCTCCGGTCACCGGGTCGCAGAGCTGGCATCTGTCTCTCTTCCCCTGAAGGGTGGGTCTCACTTGAATGCGGCACAAGCAGAATTATCATTTCCTCATTTGCTTTAAAAACAAACACGTCAGTTCTGGTGTTTCTGCTAAAAAGAGAGCGGTTGAGGTGGCAGACGTTTGCGTCCCCGTTTCGGGAAGTACCTGGCCAGGGCTGGTGGGCCCCCCTCAGCCCCTGACTTCTGCTCAGACTCTTGCCCAACAAGCCTTGCTAACTCCACTCCGGAGAGGCCCGCTGGGAAATCATTCATTCATTCGTCAGAGACCGTAGGAGACCCTGCTTGGTGCCAGGCACTGTTCTAGACCCCAAGGTGGGTCCACAAGGTGCAGAAAAAAACAAAGATTCCCCCCCCCCTTCCTGTAGCTTGCATTCCAGCGGGGGCAGGGCGGGGTGCAGAGGACAGAGGGTAGTGAGTGACTAGAAGCACCTTCTACTGTGTGCTGGAACCCAGTAAGTACTGGAGGGAAGCAAGTGGGGCAGATGGGGAGGGAGCACGGGGCTGGGGACCAGGGGTGGAATCCCAGGGAGCCATCAGGCAGTTTCCGGGATCCAGAGGAGAGATTCGGTGATGGCCAGAGCCACCGGGAGAAGTGATCAAGATGTATTCTGAAGGTCAGGCCAGCAGTGCGTGGGGAGAGGATGGGATGGGATGAGAAAGACGGAACCGGAGAAGGGGATCCCAAAGTTTTTTGCCTGAGCAGCTCGAAGGATTGACCAAATAAAGTGCAGCCAGACCATAAAATATTACTCAGCTAAACACCCACGGGAGCGAGCAGTGGGGCAAAGAGATGGGAAATTAAGGAATAGAAGAGCCAGGATGGTCTCTGGAAGGTGATCTCTGTCAGGTGCGAAATCCCCCGGGACTGCAGACTGGGAGTGGTGGGAACCTGGGGCAGGAATGTTCAAGGAATGATGGCTGTTTCTAGGCAACTAACCCAGGGGAAAAGGGTACAAAACGTCCGAAGACATGGGGTTCCAGGCTGGTGTTTGGGAAGGAAGGCAGGAGAATAGTCCAGACATGCCAAGAGAATGTCCACCCCTGTCCTCCAAGGTCAGTGCTGGGGAGGCTGTGGGGACCCCACCACCCAAGACAACCACGGGGTAGGCTCTGCCCTGGAAAGGGAGGCTGGTTCCCGTAGGCGTCGGTGAGGTGTCGGGGTCCCAGTGGAGCCTACATTCCAGAGGGCTCTGCGGGAGGAAGCCAGGATCAGGAAGGTAGGGGAGGCGGTAGGGTGAAGGGGGACGGGCAGAGCCTCCTAAGGGGGGAACAGGCAGGGAGGGAGGGTGGCCTGGGGGCCTGGGGCTGCCGTGAACGCAGGACAGTGTCCTCAGTCAGAGGGGGGATCTCTGGATGAAGCAGGGATTCAAGCTCGATCGGACTCCCAAGAGCAAGCAGAGGGACCTTGACGGACGGGCCTGCGATCCTCCGTGTATCCTAAAACCTGTGCGGAGTTTCTCCGCGACGTTCTAGAACCCCTCGGAAGGGGTGCTGTTGTAACTTCCTGGGCTGCCATAAAGAATTACCACACACCGGGTGGTTTAAAACAACAGCCAGTCGCTCTCTCCTAGTTCTGGAGGTTAGAGGACCAAGACGGTGGTGCGGCAGGGAGGTGCTGACCCAGGCCTCCTCTCTCCTGTCTTCTGGTGGCTCCTGGCAGTCCTTGGTGTTCGTGGCTGGGGACAGCATCCCTCCAACCTCTGCCTGCCTCTTCCCATGGCCTCTCCCTGTGTGTGCGGGTCTCTGTCTCTCACTAGGGCCACTCTCATCCACTGTGGATCCCTGGACAGCATCTGGAAAGACCTTGTTTCCAAATAAGGCCCATTCATGGGACCTGGGGGATGCGGCTTGACCACATCTTTCTCGGAAGACACAATTCAACCCTCAGCACGTGGGCTGCTTGTTCAAAATCAAATCCCTAGACACCCACACCCGCCCACCTTAGGTCTAATACATTGGATCTCTAGGGTTGGGACTCAAATCTCCAACCTCTGGTTATCACAGATACAAGTCTGGAGAGAGGCGGGGGCGATCCTGAAGGGCCTCTGGGCCGGGGAGGCGGCAGCCCTGAGGTCCCCCCATTCACCCAAGGGGCTTCCTTCTCCCCTTAGCAGCAGAAGGCGGCTCTGCGCGGCCACCCACCCACCCAGCCCGGCTCAACTCGGCTTCAGGTGTGAGTGTGGACCTGTCTCTTCATCGCACTGAGTGTCCCGTCCCACCCTCCAGTGCCCTGACGCACTTGATGAATTTTTTTTTTGAGGGTTTATTTATTTATTTGACAGACAGAGATCACAAGTAGGCAGAGAGGCAGGCAGAGAGAGAGGAGGAAGAACACTTCCTGCCAAGCAGAGAGCCCAATGCGGGGCTTGATCCCAGAACCCTGGGATCATGACCGGAGCCAAAGGCAGAGGCTTTAACCCACTGAGCCACCCAGGTGCCCCACTTGATGAATTTTTAATTGAACGCCGGACCTCTCCCTCTTGCTGGGTTAAATGCGTAAACGAAATGGTCAACAGACAAAGACCACACCGGTCTTGTTAGAACAGAAAGTGAATGCCCCGTTGCCTAGCGCAGCCAAAAGTGACTCTGGTCTGTGAGTTTATGTAAATCGAGTTCCTATTACTGGCCCTCGAAATGGAAACCAAGGTGGCCCAGCCTTTTCTTTCAACTCGTATTAGTCGTTTCCCTCCACGAAGAGAGCGAAGAAAGTGTCATCGCACTGAGCCCCCTGAGCACCCGTTTCCCCCTGTGGAGGGAGATTCGGGCCCCAAGAGCATCTGGGCAGCCAGGAGCTGGCCCTTTGGCCCCGGGTTGTGCCCACAGCTCTTGGTGTCTGTGCAGCGTGGGCAGGCCTGGAAATCTGTTCTGGAAGGTTCCTGAGGGTTGTCAAGACCACGGTTTCTCAACCTCGACTCTCCTGACATTGGAACTGGACGGTTCCGTTACGGGGGCTGTCGTGGGCCTTGCTGGAGGTTTTAGTGACCTTCCTGGCCTCCCCCTACTAGATGCCAGGAGCGCCCCCGCCCCCCACCATTCATGGCAACCAAAAATGTCTCCAGGCACAAAGGTCCCCTAGAAGGCAAACCAAAACCGACCCGAGCCGAGAACCACTGGTCTAGAAAGAAATAACGCTTCGTGGTCAGAAACTTTAGGATTCCAGGAAAGGTCTGTGAAGCAAGCACATTCTAGCGGGTTCCGGTTCTCTGCTCGGTGAGTAGTTTTCTGATGGCAGCGTGGTTCCCAGAGCCGGGGTGCCCGCCCAGCGGGGCAAGGGTGATGCACGAGGCTCGTGATATTTCGGTTTCGTCAACCCTTTCCTCTACACACACACACAGCCCCACACACACACCTGCCCCCGAGGCTGCCCTGCACAGTCTCCTCCAACGGGCGCAGAGGGCTGCAGGCAAAGCGGCCTCCCTCCGGCGCCCGCGCTGACAGGCAGTTCCCTCCCGACCTCTGTCTGGAAGAATTCAGTATGGGCAGCAAGAGGGCCAGTGGGAAGCGCTTAGAAATGTTTTCTGCATCAGATCAACTCCAGCATCTGCCTGCAAAACAGGGCAGTTACTCCCAAGCAGAGAGGCGGTCTTGATGGGGGAACGCAGGTTGCCGTTGGAGAGCAGGTCTGGTCCCCGTATCCCCGTGTCCCCAGGAGCTCCGGCATCTGGTCCTGCGCCGCCGCCCCCCCCACCGCCCACCCAGTGCTGCCAGCATCCAGTCTCCTTCAGGGGCCTCCCTGCTCTCTGGAAATCCTGCTTTCCCAAGTGGCCTTTCTCTCTGGCTCAGCTCGCCCCTGTGGATCTGAGTCTACCCTCTATCCTCTCCTTCTGACTGTCCCTCTAAACCACGTTTTGACACCTCTGGGCACAGGGGCCCAGCCAGCTCCCCTGTATCCCAGGTTCCCTGCTGGGTGTGGCAGGAGCAGGAGGCCTCTGACACCGGAGGGCAGACAGGCATTCAGCGCAACCCAACCCGAGAGCAAGTGCCTTCCCCTGGGAGGGGGCCGTTCGGTGCACAAGCAATAGATTCCTGGTCTCTGCCTGGACAGGAAGGACTCCGGTGCCCGTCCCCTGCCACTTACAGTCGACCAACCTGTAGCATCTAGAAGTTGAATTCAGTGTCGGCTATCCAGGCCCGTGTCCCAAACTTCTCCGTGCTTCCTACTTGTGTCCTAATTTCATTTTTGTAGGAAATTCATTTTTTTTTAAAGATTTTATTTATTTATTTGTCAGAGAGAGAGAGAGGGAGAGAGAGCAAGCACAGGCAGACAGAATGGCAGGCAGAGGCAGAGAGAGAAGCAGGCTCCCTGACGAGCAAGGAGCCCGATGCGGGACTCGATCCCAGAACGCTGGGACCATGACCCGAGCCAAAGGCAGCTGCTTAACCAACTGAGCCACCCAGGCGTCCCAGAAATTCATTTTTGTAGGGCAAAAAGTCTAAACCCCAGAGGTAGACTTTTATCCAGGAGGGCTTTCTTTCCTTCGCTCCTTCTTTCCGTCCTTTCTTCCCTCCCTCCTTCCCTCCTTCATTCCTTCTTTCCTTCCTTTTTAAAATTGAGGTGAAATTCACATAACACAAAATTGACCATTTTAAAGTGACGATTCATTAATGCTTAGTGCACTCACCATGTTGTGCAACCGTCATCCCATCTAGTTCCAAAACATTTCCATCTCCCCGAAAGGAAAGCCCCGACCCACGAGCAGTCACTCCCCATCTGCCCCTCCCCCAACCCCTGCCAACAGGGCAATCTGTTTCTGTCTCAGGATTTTCCTATTCTGGACATTTCCCATGAACAGAATCGAAGATAGGTTGCCTCCTGGGTCTGATTTCTCTCACTCGACGTGATGTTTCTAAGGCTCGTCCGTGCCGCAGCATGGGTGAGAACCTCGCTCCTTTTCACGGGTGAGGACTAGGCTGTGGTATGGCCAGACGCCGTCCCCCTTACCATTCATCCGTGGATGGACGCTGGCTTCTTCTGCCTTCTGGCTGTCGTAAATAGTGCTGCCGTGAGCCTGTGTGTACACGTAGCCATTCGAGTCCCTGTTTTCAATCCTTTGGATAGATATCTAGAAGTGGGATTTGCTAGGTCACATGATAATTTTTTAACTTTTTGAGGAACCACAAAACCAGCATTTTCTTAAGGTGTTTGATCAATGTTGGTTTCCTTCTTCCCCCTGGGACCCTTTCGCCTGCCAGAAGTCACCCATGAGACCTTCATTGCCTACAAAGTCCTGGAGGTTTTCCCCAGAGGCCGCAGGGTGGTCATAACGTGCCACTCACCCCAGGCACCCCCGCCCGTCACCTACTCCCTCTGGGGGGGCCAGGGCACTGAGGTTGCCAAGAAGGTGGTGAAGACCGCAGACCCGGCCTCCTTCAGCATCAACGTCACACTCAAGTCCAGGCCAGACCTGCTCACGTACTCCTGCCAGGCGGCCTCCCCTGAGGGCGCGCACTCGGCCAGCACCAAGCTGCAGATGTACTGGGAGCTGTGGACCAGTGAGTGCACCCGGGGGGCTGGGGGTGGGGCAGGGTCTGGGCTAGAAGGCAGGAGGTGGGGACAGGATAGGTTGCTCACCTCCAAGGCCACTTAGACCTGGGTCTAGAACAGTGTAGCTCCTGGCTGGGCCCCCAGGGCACCACCTCCCAGCAGGGGCCCTTGGGGAGGGCCGAAGTGACCAGGGCCGGGGCCCCATCGGTTGAGCTCTGGCCTCATGCTGATAAAGTAGGCACCTTCGTGTTTTATCTAGTTCAATCCTCACAGCAACTGGTGAGTGGGGTTCGTGGTTCCTGGCCTATGTAAAGCCCTTGGTGATTAAGAATATCACCCCAGGCCAGTGGCAAAGGCTGGTTTCAAACCGTACTCTGTTCAGCTCTAAAATCTGTATTCATCCCACTTCTTCCCCTGATCTTAATTCAGGTGTCCCTCCTGGTGGGAGGCACAGGCTGTAGTTGGTGGGGAGGAGGGGACTGGAGGGTGTTGCCCAGGCCAGTGGTGGCCCCCGGGGCCCCCTGACCCCACCCCTGAGAGGAGCCAGCCTGGTGTAGGAGGGCCCAGGGCCTGGAGGCTTATGGTCAAGGTTCAAGTCTCTACACTTAGCAGGCGGTGGGTCTTGGGCAAGTCAGTCAACTTCTGTCAGGCCTGGTTGCTTCCTCTACAAAACAAAAATAGTAATAGTTCCTAGCCCAGGAGGGCGGGAAGGATTCAGCAGAAGCTTCTAGTAGGTGGTCAGTATGCCACAAGGGGTGGTGGTTGTTACTCATCTGTAAGTCTGTTTATAGCATTAGGCTGAAGGCCACGGGGGTTTCTAGAATCTAGACTCTTAGAAGTGACAGTTCTTGCTCAGAAGGAACTATTCTAGTAAAAGAGCCAAGACTGAAAGAATAGAAATAGGGCTGCCAGATAAATTTTGCACAGGACAGAGTTAGTCATACTAAAAATTTTTTCATTATTCACCTGAAATTCAAATTTAATTAGGCATCCTGTATGTATTTTTAGTCGGTAAGCCCAACAACCCAGAATATACCAAATGCGAAATTGGGTAGTACACACTGCAAAAAGGGTAGATGCTCAGACATGAGACGGAGGGAGTAATCCGGAAGGCTGCCTGGAGGAGGGAGCAGTAACAGTTAGGCCTCCAAGCTCAGTAGGCATTCCGTAACAAGGGAATTTGCTGGGGAGAGGGTGCGAAAGTCACCCAGCCACGCCTATGCTAACGTCTTCTGCCTTCCAGAGCCTGTGTCCCAGCTGCAAGCTAACTTCACCTTGCTGGACAGAGGGTCGGGCCCCAGGGTAGAGATTTCCTGCCAGGTGTCCTCGGGTAGCCCACCCATCACCTACAGCCTGGTCGGGAAGGATGGGACCGTCCACACGCAGCAGAGGCCGAACTACGGTCAGCCGGCCAAGTTCACCTTCGCCCTTACCAACAAGTCCACCAGGCTCCAGTGCCAGGCTGAAAATGACATCAGTGTCCAGTTCAGCCCCTTCAAGCTGGTGCCCCCAGGTGAGAGAGCCCCTTGGTTCCCAGACGAGCCGCTGGCACTTCCGGGTAGGGCCACGGGGTTGGAAGAGCTCCGCCTTGCCACGGCCAAGAGCAGGGAAGGGCGCTGGGAAGGGATGCTAGCTCCGCCATCTCCCTCCCTCACAGGACAGCTGCCCCAGGGAGCCGTCGTGGTGCTAGGGAGCAGCCTCATCTCCATTGCAGCTGTCACCTGTTGGTTGCTGGCCCAGGCCTGGTGGACCAGGTAGGAACTGGATGCAGGATGTGAGGGACTGTGAGGACAGCTGGTGGCCTGTATGGGCCACCACCAGGAGTCCTGTTGGAGGCAGTGGGTGGGTGGGTTTGTAAGGCAGGGCCGCCGCCAGAGCAGACAAAGGGCCATGTGGCTCCTGCGTGTCCTGGAAAAGTTCATGGTGCCAAGTGCCTGCTGAGGTTTGCGCATCCCTGGTTTTATGTGACCCTGACCAACCAGCTGGCCTCTGGGTGGGGCGTTCGCCTGTCTTCGTGAAGGGTCCGAGGAGGGATGACAGGAGTGTGTCGATGATGCCCTCCGGGGACCAGGGCGGATCACGGGCTGCTGCTTTCCATGGCAACTACATAGGCGGGTGACATAGGCTTCCTGGCTGGTGACAAGAGGCAGGTCCAGACCTCCTGGGGTCCCCTCTCCAAGGCTCTCACTTCACTGACTTGTAAAGTGACCAGGGTCTTTGTGTCATCTGTCCCCCCTCCAGCTGTCACCTGTGCCCCGTGAACTTCTCACCTCCTGGGCCTCTAAGACACTGCCATCTCCTGGTTGCCTTTCTCCCTCCCTGGCCAGGCTTCTCAGTGGCCATTGTCTGTCCTTGGTACTCCCCTTGCTCACCTCTGGGTCCCTCTTTCCCGACTCTGTCCCTTCCAGAGGCCAGATTCGTGGGAGAGCTGTGCCACCTCTCTGAGCCTCTGTGTTCCCTTCTATAAAATGGGATATAGAGACCGGGCTCTCACTGGCCATGTGACCAGGGGCCAGTGCTTGTCCTCTTGGTGATTCAGTTCCCTGCCCCTTCATTTAGTGGGGTGACTAACCCTTACACCCCTTCTGCTGCCCAGGGCGCTGATGAACTTGACACCATAAAACTCCCAGAGGCCTTGCGAGGGGGTGGCTGAGAGGTGTGTTTGCCTGACCTGAAATCTTAACTCCTCTGTCATCAAGGTTGTGACCAGAAGAGGCAAGCTTGACAGAGTCCCCTCGGAAGGGCCCTGGTCTTCGTCCACGATGGAAGGACCCACCACTTGGATGAAGAAAAAGCCCGCCCGTCCTGGTTCTGATGACACCCACATGGTGTTAGGCTGAGGATTTTAGGATGGAGTGGGCTGTGATGGAAGGGGGGGGTCCATAGGAAGGGGGGAGCTCTGTGTAGTCCCTGTCCTCACCACTAAGCTGCTTGTCACCATCCACGCGGGTGTGGAGAGAAAGTGGGGTACATTGGGAAAAGTCCCCGCTGCACCAACCCACCTCTCCCACAGTTGTTCCCCTGGTCCCTGGAGTGGCAGCCCATCTCCTGGTGGCCTAGCCTTCTGGTCCCGCCTCCTCACCTGGGAAGACACGGAGCCCCCCCCCCCAACACCCCTGCATTAATCCCTGCCAGTTGGCTTGTGACCCCTCGGGAACGCAGACCCACCCACCCCCACTCAGCCTTCCTGGTTCCGATGCTCTAAACCATTGGGGGGTGGGGGTGGGGGAGGAGAACTGGATTAAACCCTGTGCTCTGCCTGTCACCCTGGAAACTTCGTTTCTGTCCGCACACTTGGGCATGGAAGTCTGAAGCCATACATACTTGGGACCTGGTCTAGCGGGGGAAGATTTGGGGGTGGGGGGCGGCTCAACGCCACCCCAGGCTTAGCTCCACAGAGAAGTAAAGAGCGACAGGCCGGTCCGGGAGTGCGTCCAGGCTGTGGCCTGGGGTTTTGGACGCAATGGGGAGAGAAGACCGGGTGCTTATGAGCCTGGGTCCTGGGCAGGTGAGGCCCTTACAGGCACCCGGTGAGCTTCCCGAGAAGGCGGGATGGCAGGGGAAAAGTGTAGGTGGGGCAGAGGGGCGGGCCCTCCGTGCCTCCCTCTCTTCCCCAGCACGCTGGGGCCCCTTTCTGGGAGTTGGGGGACGGGGCCCGGGCCACCAGGTGGGCTAGACGGCCTTCCGCCTCCGGGACGCAGGCCCCGCCCGCTCTACTCGCCCCTGGCGGCGAGCCGCACTTTGCCCTCGGTCCCTGGGGCCGCACTGGCCACGCCCCGGGGGCGGGGCCGGGCCGGGGAGGTGGCTAGGTCCTTGGCGGTCCGCGGCTGCGGCGGTGGGGCGACGGCGGTGGGGCGACGGCGACATGGAGAGCGGGGCCTACGGCGCGGCCAAGGCCGGCGGCTCCTTCGACCTGCGGCGCTTCCTGACGCAGCCGCAGGTGGTGACGCGCGTCGTGTGCCTGGTGAGCCGGGCGCGGGGCCGGGGGACCGGACTGAGCCGCGGAGCCCGGGCGGGGGAGGGGGTGGCCGCAAGCCTGCGAGCGCGACAGGTGGCGGCGGCCGAGGCCGGGAGGGCGCACGTGGCGCGCGTGGGGCCGGCGAGAGGGCCCGGGCCCCGTCGGCTCCCACCCACCGGCCCCAGCTTCCCCCGCCTTTCCCCGGTCCCCGCTGCCCCGCACCGGCCGGGTCCGGACGCGGGGTGGCCCGGAGGCACCGCGGGGAGCAGGCCTGTCGCCCTGCTGGCGGTGGGAGGAGCTTGGGGCCGCTCCAGGACAGGTGGCCGGCGTGCTGGGACTCCGTGCTGGGGGAATTCTCCGGGAAGGAGCTTTCCCAAGCCACGTCGGGTACGGGGGCAGTGTGGCTCCCTGAAACAGCATTCCGCCTTCCACTCCCCACCCAAGATCAGGTGACCCCAGGATGTACCCTTCCCTGTGAGATAGGGGAGCCCTCCAGGACGGGGGCGGGGTGGGGTGGGGTGGGGGAGAGGGGTGGGGGGAGGTCACAGGCTCTTGGACAAGCAGCGCCCAAAGTTGGACAAGGTGTTAGAGTGGGCATGAAGTGCCCTCGTCATGCCTTCCTGGGACTGGAGCCTAACGAGGGGCCTTAGTGGCACCCATGTCCCCTCCCTGCCCGATCGTGGGGTCTGCTCCAAGGGGCAGATGCCCCGTGTGTCGGGATGGCTGTGCCAGGAGTGGGGCCTGGCACGCTGCTCCCAGCATCGCGAGTTCCGGCTTCATCTCCAGCTGGGGCGGGGCTTGTGACTGGCGGCCCCGGAGCCTACTGACAGGGCCTCGTTCTGGCAGGGCAGGGCGGGGAGAGGCCTGGGCCCCTCCCACTGAGAGCCAGGTGTCCAGACAGTCCTGCATCCTTGCCTCTGCTGACATGGCGTGGTGGCCTTGAAGTTTAGGAAGGAGTTGAGGTGACATGAGGCTATTCCCAAGAGCCTAGAGCCGCTCCCTTGTCCCCCCAACTAGGACCTGCAGGGTTCCAAGTGTAGGACCGTGTCCACAGGGCTTGCCAGTCAGACTAGCCTGGGGTGCCCTGTGCAGCCCCGACTCACTTATGGACAGGAAGCAGGTTGGGGTTCCCTCAAAGGGGAGAGACATGATACCACAGAGGCCAGCTGTCCTTGCAGGAAGACGGTTGGCTCAACTGGGGAGGCCAGGCTGGAGCAGGAAAGAGTTGGAGGGGGCACCAAGAAGTGGGAGTCTGGGGGCATGGGCTTCTGCTCAAAGCACGCTGGCGGGCCTTTCCTGAGACCATGGGGCTGGGGGGGGGGTTCTCCATCACCCAGGTGTTCAGGCAGAAGATGATCTAGACAGGACGCTAGACAGGTGACTCAGGCAGAAGATGATCTGGGGGCGGGGCTCCAAGCCTGGGTTTCTGTGGCTTTGTGGCCTGTCTCCTGCTGAACCACGGTGACCCCTCCTGGCAGGCAGCCCGGGCCGGGCAGTCCCCTCTCAGGAGATCCCCATCTCTTCCCCACTAGGACCCAGTCCAGGAATCCCTAGCCCTGCCCCTGCTGATGGCGGCTGTGCTGGTACTTGCTGGTGCCCTGGGAGAAGGGAGTAGGGAGAAGTGGGGATTGTGCACCGGGAGGCGACTTGCTTACGGGCTCCCGACCCAAGTTCCAAAGGGGCCGCAGCGCCTGGCCCCCACCCAGAAGGGAAAAGCAGCAGTGGGAGAGCCCAGGGTCCCCATCATGCGTGCCCCGCTCTGGGTCGTCTGGCGACCACTCAGCTCACCCCCACCTGTCCGCTCAGGTCTTTGCCTTGATCGTGTTCTCCTGCATTTTCGGCGAGGGATACAGCAACACCCACCAGTCCAGACAGCAGTACTGTGTTTTCAACCACAACCAGGACGCGTGCGGCTACGGCAGCGCCATCGGGGTGCTGGCCTTCCTGGCCTCGGCCTTCTTCTTGGTGGTTGATGCCTATTTCCCCCAGATCAGCAACGCCACTGACCGCAAATACCTGGTCATCGGCGACCTCCTCTTCTCAGGTACCTGCTAGCTCCCCCCCCCACTCTATTTGGGGAGGTAAATAGGAGCAGCCAGTGTTCCCCAAAGCCCTGGAGCTCTGGGACTGCAGGGCCTCGGCAAACAACCTGGCATGGGGGGCCGGAGCAGCCCGGGGTCCCCGCCCCACTCGAGGACACAGGCTTTTGCACAGGGATTTCTGTCAGTCTGCCAAAGCCCACCAGCGTTGAGCGATGGTCACAGGGCTCTGGAGCCAGGCTCGCCGGTCCCCACCCTGGCTTCTGCATCAGCGGCCGTTATACGCCTGGAAGCTTCTGGGAGATCCTTGCCCAGGGCCTCCTCTGCACCCCTCCCCCTGCCACAGGGGGCCCCTCCTGGGTCACTGAACAGCCCCCCGCCCCCTCCACGTTGCTGACCCTGCTCTCCCGGCCTTCTTCCCAGCCATCTGGACCTTCCTGTGGTTCGTTGGCTTCTGCTTCCTTACCAACCAGTGGGCAGCCACCAAGAAGGAAGATGTGCTGGTGGGGGCCGACTCGGCCCGGGCGGCCATCACCTTCAGCTTCTTCTCCATCTTCTCCTGGGTAGGTGGGCCGGGGCGGACGAGGGCGGCAGGGCCTTAGGAGAAGGGTGGTGGAAGGCTGAGGAACCCGAAACTCGGGGCTCCCTGCAGGGTGCGCTGGCTTCCCTGGCCTACCAGCGCTACAAGGCTGGAGTGGACGACTTCATCCAGAACTATGTAGACCCCACTCCGGACCCCAGCACGGCCTACGCCTCCTACC